TTTGAGATGTTGGGGAGAAGTGTTTATTTTTAAGTGTGTCGAGTAAGTTTGAGGGGATAGTTATTTGTGGATTGTTTATTTTAGCCGGCCACCTGAATTAAAACCAGGTGATGAATATCTGGTTGACCATTCGATTTTCTTTTATCTTATGGATCCAAATGGAGAATTTGTTGATTGTTATGGAAAGAATACTACTGCCGAGGAAGTTACTGAAAGTGTGAGAAAATATATTAAAGAATTTTTAAGCAAGCGTGATAAAGTTGAAGTTTTAAATAATTAGAAAATTTTAAAGTTTTTTCAAGTTTAAAATGAAGTTTAAATAAGTAAAAATTTAAAAATTTGCGTCGTCACATAGTAAAATCGAACATCGTATCGTAATCCCTGTTAATAATGCCCAATTATTTCCGGCGAACGTATAAACAATGTCAAAGAGATTTAATCATAAGAAATATAACAAACAATGTGTCCTTCATTTAAACTAAAATACAAAATCATAAAAATCACAACCTAAGAATATAAATGTTTTAAACGCCTTTGAAAAATGGGTAATATTGGACTAGAATAAATCAAGAATATTAATTGGGTAGGCTTGGAACGAAGGTGTATTCAAAAGATTAGGAATATAAGACTAGGTAGAGACAAGAAATAGGAAAGTATTAATAGAATGCAAGAAACTTGTCAAATAATTTTATAGATAAGACGCTTAACCATAAAAGGAATAAACGAAAAAACACGGACCTTTGAATATATATAGTCTTTAATTTATTATTATTAAAAAAATAAGAATTTAATTTCAAATAAAAAATAAAAATAAAATTCTTTATTTAATTAAAACATTTCATAATTAAAATAAATAATTAAATTATATACAGTCCCCTCCAATAAATGAAGGACTGCTTAAGAATTATTATAATTAAATAGAAATAGTTGTCATATATTAAACTTTTTATTTTATTAATAAAAACAATTTTTATGTATTAAGTAAACTTATTCTTTATAA